TATGTGAATACAAACTTAAAATTATTAACTTCGTAAATCTATTTTGGTTTTGAGTTTAAATTGTACCATATCTAGCTATATGTACCACTACTTCATGCTAATACATATTCAACCTGTACTATATTACGTTTTCACCCAAGTCAACATTCTGGTTAATACTGTAATCACATGACTAATGCAATAACCAATATAATACATATAAGCACATAAATATTTTAATATAGCTAACATTTTGGTTAATGTTAAGTGTTACTGCTACAACAAGACTGTTCCTATATCACCTAGGTTATTGTTTGACACGTGTATACTACATGTAAAACGTAGAAAAAAATATTATTACACTCTCCACACACGCTGCACAAGTATCTACTTGTAAATATACTGCACTGCTTCCGCCTTACATTTATCAATCGATTATCTATGCGCAGAAATTAGTTGTATTTGCTAATCGATTAGTACGCGCCTGTACAAGCACACAAAAAAAGTGTGTGTGTGCTAGCTCTCTAACTTTTTCAACCACTTCGTTATTTTAACATGGTGTTAATCTTCTTATTTCCATTCACCTTGTTTGTTTTTTAAAGTAATTTTAAAGTTACCCCTGGTTTCATATGACAGAAGCTCATTTATGCATTTTGCGAAAAAACATTTTTTGTCTAAAAATATTTTGTCACAATTTTTTTAAAGATAATCTGGATATTTCCATATTGGAGGCTGACTCGTTATTTTCGACCAAATACCACCACACTGGCACCATTATGTGTTGTTTTTTTTAAGATATGCAGTAATCCCCCATTGATCTTCTCTAAATTAATAATTAAATAATGAAAACACGTTTCACTGTCATCGATAAGGATAATAACATTTTCATTTAAAACATATCATGATTGTAATTAGAAATAACCAATTAGCCAATTTATTTATGTACGTTGTTTGAATAGTATAAACATAACAATAGTATTCAATAAAGATTTGAATGATCAGATAATTTTGTAGTCGCCTGTCATGCACAATAAACTTATCTGATTTGGTGAAGATTTTATTTTATTTGGTGAACAAATTACTGATAAAAACCTCACGTTTACAAACACTGCAACTCAATAGAACTATAGTATGCATGTTAAAAAGTAAAAACACTAATTTTAACAAAGAACCAAACCTTATCAAAATACCTTTATTAAACCTCAAGCAGTCTCCAGTCATGTGACTGGTTTCATAACGTACATATATTCCTATGTCTAGTTAAACTACTTGTACCTGATGATGGCAAAACTCGGAGACATGAGTTTCTTCACTGACATCCACTTATTAGTGAGAAAATTAACTAAAAATTAAGACAACACCGTCGTCAAATTTTTAAAAAACTTTCTGAAAGAATAACTTTATTTTGGTTAAGAACCTTGAGAAAATGTTGATTGACTTTCAAGTGTTTCCCATATTTTGTACACACTTGTTAAAAACTTGTCATAGTGCCATATCGAGTAGTCTGATTATTTAATAATGAAACACAGCTATTAAGGATAAAGCAAGTGAGTAAATAGTAAATTTTTATATAGGTTTAAGCTGTTTTTTATAGTGTTGTAAGCTAAATTTTTTACAATGTAATTTAAATATTGGCAAGAGGGACCTTCGGGACTTCATGAAAACGTTAAGATCAGAAGGTTTAAAAAGATCGGTTTAGAACATCTAGAAAACTCTATGGGTGTGACGTAAAGTATTCTAGCACAATCGAAGCTATTCTATAAATTCGAGATAGTTGTAAATTCGGAAGAGCTTTGTTTTGAGATAGAGGATGAACCAGTCAGTGTGTTAACTACTGCTGTTACTTTGTACAGTAAGTTGATTTGTTTTACGTTAATTAATTTGTAATGTAGGCCTACGGCCGCATACAGTATTAAAATTCGAAGAAACATTAAAGCAAGAAATAAAGTAATTTATTATTGTTACATGGACTAAATTATTTTCACCAAATAATTTAAAAGAACCCGTCAGCGAGAGAACTACGGTACTACATTGGTATCAAGAGTGGGATTATTTGGTGAAAGTAAAATAAAACTTTGACTAAAGTTCAACTGTTGAAGATGGCAACCACACGAGGTCAAATACTAAGATTCAAGCATTATTTGAGATGATGAACTTATTCAGACAAGGTCAGGAAAAATGACACAAAATTTAAATAAGTTCAATAAGAACATGGTAAAAAAGTGATTGTTTGGTTGTTTTAGAGCAAGGCCACATTGAGCTATCTGCTGTGTCTACTGCAGGGAATCGAATCCCATATTTTTACGTTGTAAGACTTTAGACTTACTGCTGTACCAGTGGTGGATGATAAAAAGTGAGAGAAGATCTATAAGAAGACTAAGAAGAGCAAGAAAATAAACAACAAAGTTACAGAAAAGTAAAAGAGGGCCAAGAAGAATAAAGATAAACAATTTAAAAAACATAATATGAATTTTAGAGAATAGTTAAAATAAATAAACGTACTATTTAAAAGATTAATGAAACTATTCTAGATGTACAGAGATTTTACAATAAGACTAAAGAAATATAAAAAGGTTGTAATGACAAATTTGAAGTCAGAGATGAGCTAATAAAGGCTCCATTGAGCAGTTTCGGGATACCAGATCATTGAGTACTGAAACATCAACTCTCTCCCAACAATAGGTTAGAATAACTGAAAGAAGTAATCAGACAGCTAGTTAAATAGAACAGAGAAAATAAACCCCAAAATAATGGAATATTTTAAGTCTAACTTGAAGAGATATATTGTCAGGAACTGCAAGCAAAGGTCCGCATGGAATAAAGTTCTCAAAGGATACCAGAAAAAGGTAACTGTTATAACTGGGTAAAATCGGGTCATTACAGTCGAGACTGGAAGAAATCATAAACTGTTATCACGCCAAAAAGACAGAACTCGGCCAGATCAGAGGAACAACACAGAGCTAATGAGACACAAAAAAATATATGAATGTGTTGGATGTATGAAGCGAAATTCAACTGGAAATATTCCATATACCACAAATCAGAAAAGAAGTTAATTACTAGAGAAACATCGTCTACGGGCTTACTGGTGGGAAACCTCACATTATGCCGATTGACACCGGTTCCACATCCCGAGTTGTTAATGAATAATGAGAGACTGCCTCCAGGGATGATGAAAGGAGTGACGTGAACAGCGAGTGGGCATAAGATTCTAGCAAGAGGAAATATAGAAGTTATCCTCACTGTAGAAGGCCTCTATATACCTCATGATGTGTGGATATAATGAACAATGAAAGACAGCCTCCAGGGATGATGAAAGGAGTGACGTGAACAGCGAGTGGACATAAGTTTTAGCGAGAGGAAAGCTAGAAGTTATACTTACTAACAGAGACAGTGGTCAATGGCCTATTAAGAAGTAAGATACTCATATCAGGAGTTAATAACAATGATTCTTCATCCAGTAAATGGAGAATAGTGGAACCAAATATTCCAACATGTCAATAGGGATTTTTAGTTGGAAGGGCACTTCTAGATGTGAGGAATAAAGATGATGTACACGACTTTACCAGGAACGACTTGAATCGGCTTGTGATAAAGCAAAAGGTAACTATGCTATAAGTGCTAATAAAATAAGATTTGATCGAGGTGGCAAGGTATGGCTGAACATTTCTCACTGCAAGATATGTTGTTGATGTTTGGTTTATTGCTTAAAATTATGGTGTTTTTACTTTTTAATAGATACATTATGGTTTTATTGAGCTGCGATGTTTGTAAACATGAGTTGTTGTTTTTTATGTTTATCCTATTCAAATAACGTACATAAATTGACTAACCTGTTACTTAATTATTTCTAAATGAAATCATGACACTTTTTAAATAAAAACGTTATTGTACTTATCGATAATATAAAAACGTGTTTCCATTATTTAACTCTTAATTTACTTAACTTAGAGAAGATAAGTGATGCATTACTGTATATTTTCAAAACAAATATAATGGCAACGGCATGGTGATATTTAGACGACATTAACGATTCATTCGCCAGGTAGGAAATGTGCAGGTTATCTTTTAAAAACATCTGTGGCAAAATACTTTTTATAGACAAAGATGTTTTCGCATGGATAAAACGAAAATTACTTAATATAAGATACAAACATGAAGATTAATGGAGTTTTTGAAAAGTTATAAAGTTATCACACACACACATACACATGTTTTTGCTTTTACCAGTTACCACTAATCGTCCAGCTGTAGTGGTTTAGCAACGTACGAAATCTTGGCCTGAAGTTACAACGGAGGAGCCAATCCGTGACTATGCCACTGCTACACAGTACGAAAAATGCAGAATGTGAAAAATATATTTACTAAAAAGTGAAATAATTTACAAAATGTGTATAGACAAACACAGTGAACTGGGTGAATACAAGTCTACAATTTTCTTCATAAATATGTTAGATACTTTCTTTATACGGAAAACTGAAATTTTGGATTTATTGTTAGATATAGAACTACACTATGGGTTATCTGTGCTGTGCCCACTGCAGGGAGTGAATCCCAAATTTTGGCATTATAAGCCATAAGCTTACTGCTGAGCCATCTGGATGCATTTAAAATAATAAACTACATTTTTAAATTTGGGATATTCAAGACCAGTAACACATTTTGACAGTGAAACATGTATAAAATGACCATCCTTCTAGCAATTTAAACACAGGTTCATAATAAAATATCACTATCTTACTTTGGCATCTAACACATAGGGCAGAAGGAGCTCCACTTTTTCCAGTTAATGTACAACAATTATGTTAAAATGCAAATATCACTATCTTACTTTGGCATCTAACACATAGGGCAGAAGGAGCACGTGTCCCCCCCTCCACTTTTTCCAGTTAATGTACAACAATTATGTTAGATGGACTTAAGAGTTTTCCCCTCTCCCACATTTTCAACAAATTTAGGTGGTCATTCTGTTATATAACTAACAAAATAAATACTATAATGTATGTGGTTCAAAAACTTACTGTATTGGAAGTCCATACAAGCTGAAAGCCAAGGTCTGAGTCACTCCAAAATGGTGTGTCAAACACCAAGAAGATTTTCTCCACTGATCCAAACCCCAAGTGTGTTAAAAGTTCTTGCTTCCTGTCTGGTAGTGGAGGACTAAAGAGCGTCTGATTGTGTTGTTTCAAATAGCCAACTGACATTGTAAGTATAACGTGATCAGCACATAGCATATCTCCATCTGAGCATTCCACTGTCACAGTAGGCAACTCTTTACCTTCATATGTTTCTTGCCAATGAATACAACTGACCGGTTTAGACAGACATAGCTGTTCAGATGAAATGTCCTTACTCAGGGACTTAACTACTGACTGAAACCCATTTTTAAAGTTGATAAGGTAATTTCCAGGACAATCTGTCCACTCGGCAAATCCACAACAAGATACATCATTCAAACTATTACAGGCATTTTCTGTCAACTCATATTTTAGGAACCATTCATAGATCCCTCTTCTCCATGCTTGGACATGTGGTAAATCTCCACATTCTTCTAAAAACATTTCAAATTTTTGTTTAAAAAAATCTCCAACTGAGGCTGAACTAGACAAAATATTATCACTTTCAGTAGGACTGAACATTTTATAAATATTTTCTTTAATATTCTCCAAAGCCATTAAAGTTTCATCCACAACAATCTCAGGAACCTGCTCAGCTGTCTCACTATAGAACAAACCTCTTGCTTCCACAGAATATTCTGTCCTTGGGTCACTCAAAATATCCATATTTTGGGCATATTCAAAAAGAGGATTTCCTTTCTCTCCATGCACCCATTGAGCTCCAAGCTCCAGCACTCCATCACCTGAGGCAATGTACAATAGAAGTCTTGTTTAAATATAAATGATAGATAGATGGCTATGGTCCTTCCCATTATTGATCTTAATCATTCCTACAGTTATATAAGCATTACATATACCACTTTAGTTCAATTGGTTAAACAGATTCTTCAAATTACCAAGTACATATTTTTACTTTCTCATTAACTTAGTTTGGAAGAAAGGTCTTGCAACTAACTTTTGTAACAACTAGTAGAAGTTTGCTAATTAAACGTGGCAGCCACAATAGGAAAGAAAAATAAATCCCCAGATGCATACCTTTACATTAATGGATACAACTAGTAAGTTCAAATGAATTTCCAGAAAGCATTGCATTTTTATTTAATATTTTTTAATATGAAATGAAAAAAAAATCTAAGTTATGAATAAAAAACTAAACCATCACTTAAATATGTCATTTTTACTTCATATTTCAAACTCAAGTAACCCCATTTGAAGATGCACAAAAATGATGAAAAGTAAACTATCTGAAAAGGCTAATTGATCCTTAGAGTGGTTTCTCAATAAGTGTTATACTTACAGCTTTTTTTTTTCTATTATAATTTTGATCATGATTCACAATTGCTCAGATTGTTCATAATAATGCCTGGATTATTTAATATCTCATAAAATAATCAATTAATTGAAATTATGTTCAAATCAATTACCATGAAAGTAATAAACTGATTGATCATTATTATTTTCAATTATTCTAAACATTCAAGTAAATAAAATATTATCAATATGTTTGTTGTTAAGTATAAAGCTATATAATGGTCTATCTCTGCTCTGCTCACTGAGGATATCAAATAGTCCAGTCAATTTAACGAAGTAACCAGCTCAAATTAAAAGAAATGGCTTCTGTTGTATTCAATTCTGATAAGAAATACTTACAATATATCAAAATTCTCCTTGGGATCTGAGTGCTAAATATGGTTTTTGGTAGAAAAAGTGAAAAAAATTAACAAAAACAGCTAATCTTTAAATACTTTACAAATTATACCACAAATAAGTTTTGTGGATCTGTATTTCTAAAATCAAATATTTCCATCTTAATTCAAAGAAACCAGTGTGATTGGTTAATACAAGTGTGGCGATTTACTGTGTAACGAACATTTGTTATACGTTTGACTTGTCTTAATGTATTATTTTAAAACAAATGGATTGTGTATTGTTTGTTTATTGAAATTTAACGCCAATAAGCAAGTTACAAACACCTACTGTAAAGAATCTGACCCATACACATTTTTTTATTTGTAATTAAGCACAAAGCTACACAATTGGCTATCTGTGCTCTGCCCACCACGGGTATCGAAACCCGGATTCTAGCGTTTTAAGTCCGCAGACATACAGCTGTGCCATCTGAGAATTATTTTTAAAAAAGTCTGCATGAAGACTAATAAAAAAAATGTTTTCGGTAAAGATTTATCCACTCGGGACGCGATCGACGTCGCTTAATGTCAATCCGCACCTGACGCGAATTTGAAATGTTCCAAAATAGTGGAAATAAATACATGACCCTGCGCATGTATTCTTACTGGACACATTAAAGATTGGCTGTCATTATAAAACAGGTCGTGTTTTGATAACAATAGCTCTGATCTTCGCAACAGTAATAGCCTTTAGTTAAACTGAAATTTTCAACAACACACACACATATATATATATTGTTACGTCTCCGTTTGTTAATTAACTTTCCGTAACTTCGTTCCGACGAAACTTTAACGACACAAG